GTCCGGTTTCGTATATCGAAATTTGGAAACTATATTATTTATGATTTTTGTGTCTTTTTTGTTTTTTTTCCTATGTTTTTGGTTGTTATGTGAATCTTCCGTGAGATGTTATTTCTCTTGCTGTGGTAATCTGTTTCGAGCAGGATTTTTTGTATTGAAACTTGTGGAAGCAATAAGCGAATAGAAGAAAAAATATTTGAATTATGATACTAGATTTACAAGTTTGAATTCACGACTTTACGATCCAAATCTTCTTGACGTGATAACTGATAATTAACAGAAATGTAATGGGGGGTTGTGTGGTTTCTAAATAGATCAAGGGTTTTTACCTTTTAGCTTTTATAGGGAGGTAGAATAGACCGATCATTCGGTTTTAATCCGAACTAAACCGAACTAAATTCTGAAAATATTTTGAAAGATGGCCAATTCGTTTTCCACCCGGAATTAATTAAAAAACTTAAATTTCATATAACACTTTTACGATACCAAAATCTACAAATATATTTTGAAAATGCGCTAATGATCTTGCAAACTACTAGTATTTTCGTCCAATTGCATATAGTAGTTTGGAAGTCATGATAGATTGCTAAAGGTGTAAGTTCAGCAAACAAATAAAGACCTACCAAAGCAAGTTTTGTTTGTTAGATCAAGAACGCGAAACTCTCATCATAAATATTTGCAAGATATACACTTTCAATCTAAAAAAGTAGAAAACCCCGAATATAGGATCTTTCAAACAACATGAAAAGAAGAAAAAAGTGGAAAATAGAATAGGTGAGAGAGAGTGACACGAGTAACCTCCACTACCATTAGGTCCACATTACCATCTCTTTTTCCCAACTGGTTTTGCGGTTTGGCTTGACATCAACGCTAACAGCCAGACTCACTCCACCATACAGATACACCCACAAAAAGGGAAAAAGGCATACAAAGGAAACACTTTTATAGCTAAAATTAATTTTTAAAAATTATATAATTTCGAAAGATGATTCTGAAATCATTATTGTGAACCCTCTTTTTTCACACAAAAAAAATGGAACTTATTTTTCAAGTTGACAAAAGAAAAAGAAAGTAAAACCTATTTTCAATGGTTGCCCACTTTGTCACAGTCATCTCTCTTTATTCCTTCCAATATTATTGTGGCGGGTTTCTCCACTAACATTTTTGTGAAGCAAAAAGTGTAATCCATTTAACAATAAGTCAACATAGTGTAATAATGCATTTGTAATCTTATGCAAGGTTGCAAATTTCAACAAAAACAGAGTACACACAAAAACTTAATTTTCTTCAACTGCAAGTCACCATTGATCATGCGAGAAACGCGTGTACCCAAAACTATTTGGTTGCGAATTCTTACAGTCTCATCATGACTCACTTTGTTAAACTAAACTCCATTTAGTACTCTCTTCTCCACTTCCACTTCCTCAAAAAGTTCCCATTTTTCATTGAAAAAGAGCTCTCTTTCCTCCTTTTTATCACCACACTCTTGAGTCTTAGAGGCTCTGTTCTACTCGCTTGAGGAATACATGGAAGACGGAGAATCTAAGCAAGAAAATCTTCAATCTCTCCACACAGTCACAAACCACGACGGTGATTCACTCAAGAAACCATCTGCTTCAGTCGTAGACAGGTTAAAGCGTGACGAATGGAGCGAAGGAGCTGTTTCGAGTCTACTCGAAGCCTACGAGACCAAATGGGTTCTCAGAAACAGAGCCAAACTCAAAGGTCAAGACTGGGAAGACGTGGCTAGACACGTATCTTCACGCGTTAGCCACACCAAGTCCCCCAAAACTCAGACACAGTGCAAGAACAAGATCGAGTCCATGAAGAAACGATACCGGTCCGAATCCGCCGCTACTACTACTGCCGATGGCTCCTCTTGGCCTCTTTACACTCGTCTCGATCATCTCCTCCGTGGAACTGCTTCGACCTCGCTGCAACCTCAGCTTCAACCTCAAGCTGTTGTGCCTTTGAATTGCTCTGTTCCTTTGCTTCTACTCGAACCACCGGCTCCGGTGGTGGCTCATCCGCCACAGCCACCTTCTCACGGATCCAACGGAGTAACAAAAACTCCCAAGGTTATTGTCAAAGTTTGATTTTTTCCCCCAATTTTTGGGTAATAAAGCTATGAACTTTTTTGTGCAGGAAGATGGAATTAAGCCGGAGAAAGCGACGGAGATGGATACAGATAGTAGTACGCCGGTGATTTGCAGAGATAAAGCGAAGGTGAGACCGAAGAAAGTGAAGAGAAGGTATAAAGAAGATAAGGAGGAAGAGATCGCCGGAAGTATACGGTGGTTAGCGGAAGTGATGATGAGATCGGAGCGAGCGAGAATGGAGACGATGAAAGAGATCGAGAGGATGAGAGGTGAAGCTGAGGTTAAGAGAGGAGAGATTGATTTGAAACGAACTGAGATTATGGCGAATACTCAGATTGAGATTGCTAGGCTCTTTGCAGTTGCAGCTTCTGGACACAAAGGTGTTGATTCTTCACTAAGGATTGGAAGAAACTGATGAGTTTGTTATTATTTCATTGTGTGTACATAAAATTTGGTCTGCCAAAGTGTTCATCAAAATTCCAGAGAGAGAGGGAAAAAAACGTTTTTTTCATCTGCCCAATAATTGGTTTAGTTTTTTTTTTTTTCATGGGATGGATGGTGAAGCTACAATTCTGACAAAAAATGTGTGTTTTAATTTCATATGAATATGATCAATCTTAGTCATAGAGATTATACTCAGATGTTATTATTGTCTCAAAATTTGTTTTTCTATCTAGTGTTGTGGTTGGGTGGATCTCTCTCCAAATCGTACATACAACTTTCATCGAATACGATTTCCCACATTTCTATATATATATATCTATGAGATCGAGTATGTAATTAATTATGTTTACACACTTTTCTAAAAAGGTGTTCATTTTTTTTTCCTACTAGGATTGAAAGTTCATATAGATCGATTCAATTAGTCTAGTCGCGTGTTAGAGATTCGGCTGGAAAAAAGTGAAAAAGTATTAGCAGCTAAGAAATAATGTGAGGCAACGGTATAATGTTAGATTGAGATTAATCATATTTTATCCATCAATGGGAAATTAATCAAGTTATTTGTTAAGTAATTGGCGGTTTAGTTGCATAAATACAAGTGGGCATAATGAAAAATTGTAGTAGCATCAGTCTTATGTTTTGAAAGTTTAGCACATAGTATGTTTCAAAAATATTGTTATGCCTAGTTGAGGAAAATGCAACTTATGCACACATTTAAAAAGGGTAATGGTGGACACATTTAGTGGATGTGGCTACTAGACCCACCAACCGGCCTAAGCTTTACTTGTAGTTACAGGTGGGAAAAGAAAATAATAAAAAAAATTCGAACAAAACCAAACTGAAATTTATCAATCAGCTGATTTGAATATTTTGAAGCTAGAAAATCAAACTAGCTTTATCGTAATATTTGATTCTTTTTTTAATGCAATCTACATAAATGCAACTTTTTTGTTTGGCACAAGGTGTGCACACCGTATTTCCTGTATGAGCCGGATCCTTTGTCTAAACTGAAATTGGAACAGTGTCATCTACTAATGGAGAAGAGCATGAGAAGAGCATGACTTTATCACTGGTGACAATGATTCTTCACACTCATTGATGAACAATATTCTGTGTTTGTTGACGCAAATGACATATTTGAGTTCGAAACAAAAGAGATCAGAACAGAAGGTTTTGGAAAGGACATTTTGTTTATCTTCATGCCTTATTTGGTGAAGGCAAAGTGTTGAGTGGCGCTGATAATTGACTTGGTGAATTCGGAGATCATTGTGAAAGATTGTTGTCGTCCGAATATTCCAGAGCAACTAACAAGAAAAAAGCTTCAACCATTCGCCATCATGCTTCCATACTTCATCAACTACATCAGAGGAGATGCAATGGGTGTCTCTCCTGATCTTCATTCATCAGAGGAGATGCAATGGATACAACGCCTAAATCGCATGTACGAAGGTGACTCATGACTTCGTGATCATGTACGCGGGTTGTTATGTTTTAAACCTGTTGGGTCCATAGATGGAAGAAACACGGAAGCATCGCTGATTATATCTAACCCAAGCACGGGACAAGTGTACATTTGTTTTTTATATGAATTTGATCAATCTTAGTCATAGAGATTATACTTAGATGCCATTTCTGTCTTGAAATTTGTGTTTCTATCTAGTGTTGTGACTCCAAATTGAACATACCACTTTTATCGAATACGATTTTCCACACATATATCTATGAAATCGAGTATGAAATTATGTTTACTCACATTTAAATAGAGTATTCATTTTCTTATTTTATTTTGGTAGGATCGGAAATCTTGTGTTTTACATATCCATACGATTGACACATAGGTCGGTTCAATCAGTCTAGTCATTCGACCACCGAAAGAGTTGAAAAAGTATTGGCAGTTGAGAAAGAATGCAAGACAAAGTCTAGTGTTAGCGGGAGATGAATCTAACTTTTTCTCTTTGCATTTTATTAATAGGAAATTAGTAGAAATTAGTCAACTAATCTATTAAGTAATTGAAAGTTTAGTTGCATAAATACAAGTGGGCATAATGGAAAATTACAGTAGCACCATAGTCTTATGTTTTTGAAAGTTTAGTACGAATAAATATTGTTATGGCTAGTTGAGGAAAATACAACATATGCACGTACCTAAAAGGTTAATGGTTGACACATTTGTGCAAATTGGATGTGGCTACTAAACCCAACAACCGACCAAAGCTTTGTGTTGTAGTTACGGGTGGGAAATAATAGATAAAGTTGAACAAAACCAAACTGAAATGTATCAATCAGCTGATTTGAATATTTTGAAACCGGAAAATCAAAACTAGCTCTATCGTAATAACATTTGCATAAATGAAAATCTGTGTACAAGTCAGTACCGGTATAAACTTGTAGAACCAGATCAAAATTAAAAATTGACCTGGTTAGCTCCGGATTCGAATCATTGAAACACATAAACCGGATAGTAACCAATAACTTATCCGGTTTCGTTGATCTGTAACATTTTGCTTCGATTTTGGTCCCGATTCTCCAGTCTCTGAGGAGTATCCTTCGTCGTCGTCTTCAAGTTGGTGCTCTGAAATTCTAAGCCATGAATCGTCGTAATCGCGGCTCTTCTTCTTCCTCTGCTGATGCTTCTAGGGTTTCGAAAAGTTATGGGAGTCGTCAAACCTCTGATAACCCGATAAATATCACGACGACCGGATCCGGCGGCGGAGCCAGCGATTCCTTTCGGAGAAGATCCGATTTGCAACATAAACGAAACAGTGGTAAAGACGAAGCAGATATTAAGGACGCAGATCCTGCTGACGTTTCCTTCATCGTCGGGACTTGCTCTTCCATGTGTCCAGGTAATCATCAAACTGGAAAGAAATCTCTATTTGATCTGGATACAATCCAGTGCTTAGGTTGGTTAGTATATATACGATTCACGAATTCATGATCGTTCCGTGCATCGGATTCGGAAGTATCTGAAGTGTCAGTTTTTGGGGTTGGAACAAATGCTGCGTAGGTCTTGAGCAATAGTTGCTTGGAACATAGAATTGTGTGGATTCTCAAGAAATCGTCTTAGTGACGAAGAACTATGAATACTCAGTGCCGTCTAAATCTTATGTAAACAGCTACACTTAATGTGTTTTGCTTTCCTTATTAACAGAGCGCGAAAGAGTCACGAGAGAACGCCTACGTGATCTCGCAATTCTTGAGAGGCTTAATGGAAATCCCAAAAAATCATCTATAGATCTAGCTGTTAAAAAGGTGCGCTTGACATATGACAGCTTTGAGTTTCATGTCTATGGTGCTAAGTAGACAGTGATTATTGGAAACTTTCACCTTCAGTTAAGGCTTTCGATTTCTATATTTCGCACGTTTAAGTGTGCATCTGAGGTATTCAATAGAACTTTAATAGATCAAACTTGTGATTGAAAGAAATTTCTTGTTGAAATTTCCGCTTCTATGCATATTAGCCGCCATTGTTTGATTCTAAAGAAAAAGAAGGTTTAAATTTCTTTCTGAAATGGTCAAGATGAATAGTTTGTATTTCTTACTGAGAGATACCAACTGCCTGTATAATGGGACTTATTTTTTTCTTTTCCAAAAGTAGTTATACTCTCTATGTGTTCTTGCTAGTTTTGCAGAACCCTTTCAGGGGCGGATGTTCAGGCATCGGATGTAAGACCGCTCCCGGTTTTAGAAGAAACCTTGAGATACCTTCTAAGTTTGCTGGACTCCAGGGAGCACCCGTTTGAAGTGGTTCATGATTTTATTTTCGACAGGACAAGGTCTATTAGACAAGATCTTAGCATCCAGAATTTAGCCAATGAGAGAGTGATCCACCTTTACGAGGAAATCGTATGGTCTTGACATGTTTCTTTTTCTCTTCTGGTTCTGTGTTTGGATTACGCTAGATGTGTATATCCTTTTTCGTTAGAATTACTTCCCTCGGGGTTCGCTGAAAGCCATTTGTGTGTTTACACCATTGATGTTATTATTCTGACTCCCAAATGGCTTCTCATACAGGTTAAATTCCATGTCATATCTCGCCAGAGGCTTCAGAGTTGTAGTGGTACAAGTATTAGCTCAATGCATCACTTGAACATGGAGCAGCTTGCCAAGACTCTTGCCTCTTTGTATAATATTTATGATGCAAATAGGAAACCGGATTACATCCACGAAAATGAAGCCGAGTTCCGTTCACTCTATGTGCTGCTTCATCTCAATCCCAGTATTGCAGTGATGGTTGTTTCTCTGTTTCCTTTATCCCTTTTGTAATTTGTTACCATGTCACCTTTTTGCCATTAATACTAAACAATGAGATTTTGATCTGCAGGGGGAACCACTGTCTTTGTGGTTTCGCAAGTTGACTTCTGCTTTAATAAAATCCAAGGAAATGTGTTTTGTACGAAACCTTTTAAGGTAGAGTTATGCTGTTCAATCCTTTGCGTATGAGTTATTTATATCGACAACATTAAGGAAATATGAATTGAAGTATATGATGATACCGCTTGTTTCTTCATTTTTTTTTTCCTTGCAGATCATATCGGATTGGTAATTACAATAATTTTCTAAGAACAACGGCTTCTGAAGCGACATTCTTGCAGTATTGCATTAGTGAACCCCATATTAAAGAGGTGAGCTTGTACGGATATACATATGTACTTATGTACTTCTAGTTCTCAGGTTTAGTCTTTGTGGCACTTTTACATGGATTCGTATAAGGTGGATGGGTATAAACTGCCTATACATGTATTAATATTTGCAGTAAATTTTTGAAGTATGTTGATCATTTGCCGAATGTGTTTTCATGGTAAAAGATGCGATCATTCGCTGTGCAATGCATAAACAATGTTTGCTACAAGCTTCAACCCTATCCTCTCCTACGGCTATCTCAGAACCTGATGATGAAGGTAAGACACCTTGGACTAAAAATTCCCGTTTCTTTTTTGTTTTCATATTGTTGGTAAACTCTAAATGTCATAAACCAATTTCAGGAGTTGGATTTGGAATCTTTATGCCATGAGTGTGGTCTTGAGACATGTACTGATTCTGATGGGTGCACTGCGTTGCCTGCGAAGCAACCAACATTTCTTAGTCCAGTGGAAGGTTTCAAAGTTTATGACTTGCTTGGAATTGACCGAATTATCAAGAGAGAGATTTGAGATTTGTCTTCTGTTATGTGACAAGAAGAAAACATGTACATTAAACCGCCGGTTTACTAGACTTTGTTTAAACCATTTTGAGAGAAATGTCTGACCAGATAATGATTAAAGTTATCAATCATAATCCCAAATTTACTGTTCCTATTTATCCTTTTGTTAACCCAAAACATGGCTGTAAAAAAAAAAAAAAACTGAAGGCCCAATTCTATCCATTCAATAAAAATATATTTTCGACTGAGAAACACAAAATCATCGAACGACAAAAAAATCAAACCATCGATCATTGATTGCAGAGGAGCCGCGAAGGAGACATCGCAAATCTAATCTCCATCCAATACAATCCCCAGGTTTATCCATCTCTCTCTCCTTGATTTCTCTCTGGGATTTTCACTTTCCGAAGAAAATGTTGTCGTTCGATTTAGCTTCTTCTATGTTTGGATTTCAGTTGTTAGGGATTTAGTTTATTAGCGAGAAACTCTCTCAGCTGAAGAATCGATTTCTTGCGAAAAGAGCAGTTTTTTAGTGATTTGAGGTTGAACTTTCTCCTTTTTGAGGTGCAGGGTTTGTTTGTATCTTTTGACGAATGACGACTTCTGTCTGCCCTTTCTCGAAAGCTGCTCGTCCAGACGATGCTTCATCAGCTCGAAAACAAGGCGATACGACGGCTTCTGGTTGTCCTTTCTCTAAATCTGCTCGTCCTGACGATGTTTCAGCTCGAAAACAAGGCGATACGACGGCTTCTGGTTGCCCTTTCTCTAAATCTGCTCGTCCTGAGGATGCCTCAGCTCGAAAACAAGGCGAAATGGCGAGTAAAGAATGTCCCGAACACGAAGGGAAATTGAATAAGGACTCTACTGATTCTGCAACAGTGCCTGCCAAATGCCCGTTTGGTTATGACTCTCAAACATTCAAGCTTGGACCTTTTAGCTGTATGCTATGTCAAGCACTTCTCTATGAGAGCAGTAGATGTGTGCCTTGCACTCATGTGTTCTGCAAGTAAGCCCTTGTTGCTCATCGCCTTCTTGTCAATATTTTCCCTTTTTTGTTTTTGTTGGTTCATGATTGATGGTAATTCGGTCTACTTTATTAAAATTATTGTTTTTTGGATGCAGAGTGTGCTTGATACGGTTTAAGGACTGCCCTCTATGCGGTGCTGACATTGAAAGTATTGAAGCTGATGAAAACCTTCAAAAGATGGTTGATCAATTTATTGAGGGCCATGCTAGAATCAAGAGATCTGTCGTGAATAGCACAGAAAAAGAAGAGGTCGAAAATGATAAGAAAAAAGTGATTTACGCCGATGTTTCTATGGAAAGAGGTTCTTTCTTGGTGCAACAAGCTATGAGGGTGAGTTCTATCTCTAGATTTTGCTTAAGTAACTGATGTGGTTATTCTCTTTCAACAAATGGCGTTTAATATGAATTTCCTTATGTTGAGTTCTTGTTATTGACCTTGTTCTTATTCAACGTGTATGCATAGGCATTTCAAGCCCATAATTATGAAAGTGCTAAATCAAGGTTAGCAATGTGTACCGAGGACATTCGTGATCAACTAGGGAGGGAAGGCAATACACCAGAGTTGTGTTCACAGCTTGGTGCAGTACTTGGTATGCTTGGCGACTGCAGGTATGTTCCTTGTCTCCTTTTTTCATCCCAAGTTGTTTATTATTCTCGAGATTATGTGAACAAGTAGAATTCACCAGACATGGGTACTTTGTGGTCACCAATATGCTCTCTTGTGATTCCCCACCTACATATTTCAATACTTTGAGTGATTATAGACACTTTGTTGTTCATCGTGATTATCTAATTTGATAGTGGAATTTCCTGGAGTGCTAGATGCAGATGTATGTAGTTTTCTTAGTTTTAAACTACTGAATGCTATATTCTGGATTGCTTTCATCTTGTCGGGAGTATGTCACATGTTTTTGGTGCGTAGGCTGCACATTGTACTGTGGAAGTACTATAATAATTGCTTTCTCTGTTAGACCAATGGTTGGAAATGTTTTCATGCCTTCAACTTTTGCTGTGTCCTCTTATCACTTGCATGCATCTTTCTATGTGGTTCAATCAACCCGTTCAGAATAAAGGGAAAAGAGAAGCTACAATACATGCCTGATTCAGAAAACCTCCATTATCTATAATTTTCTCCTCCTGAACGAAATTCTTTTGGTCGAATTGTTTGATCTTCTGTTTGGTGTGTTAAAATCTTTCTTTTTGGGCACGTAAGTACGATTGTTAAATTCATCTGTCTTTTTACTGCAGCCGAGCAATGGGAGACTCAAGCTCTGCAGTCAATCATTTCGAAGAGAGTATTGAATTCCTTATGAAACTGCCGATGGATGATTTGGAGGTTTTAGCACATTGGTTTTTGTTATATTTTGATTTGCAAATTGTTACCATTTTATAACTGTTTTCGCTAATCTTGCAGATTACACATACACTTTCTGTCTCGCTCAATAAAATAGGAGATCTTAAATATTATGCCGAAGACCTACAAGCTGCAAGGTCGTATTACTGTCGTGCTTTAAATGTTAGACGTGATGCAATGAAACATCACCCAAATGCTCCTTCGCAAGTAAGTATCCCTTCATGCTATTTCAGTTTTACTCTTCTCTATTTGGCCTAGTATTTTCTTAATTTTAGCATGCCATTTTATATTGATAAATCAACCAGTGTCACTAAATATTATGCAATTTTCCTATCAAATGTCCCTCTTTAGAATCAGAGATTATTCTTAACTCCTTAGAAAATGTCAAGGAAAAGAGGAACTGAACTGGCTATTCTTAGTTACCGTACCCATTTCAAGGTCTGGCAGAAAGGAATTTGGTGATACTTGAGTTATTAATATTATTGCATGTGTGAAGGATTATTTCTAGATCATAAGCTCTGTTTCTTGAGTCATTTGTAGATCATAAACTATAATAAATGCTTTTCTTGTGTTAGTTGGAAATCTTCTCCTTGGTTTTCTTATTGCTACATGGTTTCTTGTTTGTCTGGAGAAGTTGGAAATGAAATAGAGTAATCAAGGCCTGTGTTGCAACAAGCTTTATGTGTGTTAGGTCTGATACGCAAAGTAGTTCTTTCTACTTTGTACAAAAATGTGCTATTATAGAGTTATATTTGCATTGAACTCTCATATTCATGGATGGTCTGATGTATGAACAATTTGCATCTTTAAGCCCAAGTTAATAAAAACATATTTGCTTCTCTGAATATAAACTTGTGATAAGGCTTTCTCATTAGTCTAGTACAGGAAGATAGTAACTAACCTAGGGGTCTGTAGTTGATCGTAGCTACATTGACAACTTAATAACAGACATTCAGTTGGGTAGCTAATAACTGATTAAAAAGGGAGCGAGGCAGAATGTGTTGGGAATGCTGCTTATTATTGGCTTCAGGGTTTAGAGTTGAGAATATTTAGGTAATCAAGTATCATTAGTGGATATATAAGTGTTTAATGAATGTCTCGTCGATAAAAGTCTAGTTGGTGAATAAAGGAACTTTTACCAAGTTTGGCTGTTATTTCTTCATTTTTTTGTAGATTCTGGATGTGGCAGTTTCCTTAGCCAAAGTTGCGGACATAGACAGAAGCCTACAAAATGAAGATGCAGCCAGAGATGGTTTCAAGGAAGGCATGAAACTACTGGAATCTTTGAAACTGGAGTCTGAAGATTCTGCTCTCGAGCAACGTGTAAGATTCTTGCACGGCATTTTATTTCGGCTTCTCAAAAGCTACTGAATATCAGTAGAAAATTATCTGACAATGTAATGTTTAACCTGAACGCAGCGGCTCTCTGTGCTGGAGTTTCTGAAGAAGCAAGTAGAGAAGCCTGAACAATCTGCAGAAACTGCACTCTGAACTGAATCATCGACGGGGGCTTATGTAAGTATATATACATATAGACTGTACACCTAAGCACTCCTCTGTCGCATTTTTGCCGAACAAAGGATACGAGAAAGCAAAAATGTTGTATTCGCACTTACGGGTTTAAAAAACAGAGTGCTCTGTATCTTTGTGATGGTTTCAAATGCATTACTCTTGCAATGCTAAACATGAGAAAGCATGATTGTATACACTTTATGAACTTATGTCGAAGCTGTTTATAAATTAAGAATGTAAGAGTTGTTCCACAATCTTGACTTCTTGTTACTTCTTGGTGAATAGATTTTGTAACTGCTATAGTTGTGAATCTGTTTCTTCTCAATGTAAAATGGAAAAAAAAAAAAGACTAAACAGGTATTGAAGCATCTTTGTTTTCAGGAAAAGAGAGGGTAGTAGAAAATTGAACCAAAGAAGTGGGAAGTGTGTTGTGATACATTTGTATTGTCCAATTCTAGAGACTGAATTTGGTTATAAATTTTCAAGAATCTAAAACAACTAATCCTAGGCGATTATGAAACATTGATTTTTATTGAAAAAGGAAAGTTAAACACAAACACCAAATCATAGCAACTTTTGGAAATAAAAATCTATTATAATTACACAAGCAAATAAATACAGTTAGCTGTCCAGATAACCGTAACAGAATCAGAGACCAATACTACTAACAAACATCAAAACGATGTCATTTTAGATTCAATTTCATCAAAACGATGTCGTTTCGGACTTAAACGTGTTCTTGCCCTCTCTCTCTCACAGACGACGGAGACAGTCAGACAAAAATTAGGGTTTCAGAATTTCCCCTCAAGTCGATTGCCGCATCATCTTCCTCCCTCAAGTCAGTTCCTTTTTTGTTGGGTTTTCAAATTGGGTTCCTTTTTTCGTTCTCCTCAATTCTGTAATATGAATATCGAATTGTCGGTGTTTCAGAGTTTAACGGAAGTAATTGAATTTTTTTATTTTTCAGTTACATAATAAATCAAAGCATTTGGAATTCTATTTGTATCCTGTAATGGCGGACTGAAGCTGTTGGAACCTCACTATCGTTCTTACTGAGCTCTCATCCAAAGTATTGTATCATTCAAATTGTATCAAGACTTGCCTGTTTTTTTTTGTTTGTTCCACAGATTTTGAGTATAGTTTTTTTTTTTTTGTAATTAGGTTTTGTTTGTGGGCACTTGTCTTAAGAAATGGGAGCTCTTGCTCAGGTAATTCCGTGGATACCCGAAGACGACCTGCTTCTAAAGAACGCCATAGAGGTTAACTCACAGTTCCTTGAGTTCTTTCTGTTTCCAATTCCTTTATTTAAGATCTTTTCATGTCCTGATGTTGGATTGAGCCACGAACGAACTCAACGGAGGGTTTAGACAGAGTTTGTCTGAATTTCCATCCCCTTTCGTGTAATTTAATGATCATGTTCCCTGCATGCATATTTGCAAATCTTTATCAATTTGCTTAAACAAACTAGTGGGAAAAGAGTAGTTTTTTTTATCAATTTTGATAATTATTATGTTCCTTGCCTCTCATATAGCATTTATATATCAAGAAGCTAGGCTAGGCCAAAAGTTTCTCTACTAATGTGGTGCTTATAGGGTATTGTGTTCTTCTCCATTTAGCTTGTTTGGTATTCTAGCAAGCAAGTGAATTGATCTCCTTAATTGATTTTTGCAGGCTGGGGCATCTTTGGAGTCGCTTGCTAAAGGCGCTGTGCAGTTTTCTAGAAGATTTTCTATCCGAGAACTGCAAGATCGATGGCATGCTCTCCTGTATGATCCAGTAGTTTCTGCAGAGGCGGCTTTTCGGATGACCGAGCTTGAACGTACTAACTCTAATTTTCCTACAAAGTTTGCAAGAACTGGGTATTCAAAAGAAAACAAAAGTTCATCTAGGAAGAGGAAGGCTGAGAAGCTCAGAAGTACTTATCATTCCTTGCGGAAGAAATTTCGCAACGAGCCATTCAATTCGTTGGATCTAGATTTCTTTGTTCCACCAAATGACAGCCACTTCATGAATAATGGTGATGCAACACATCTTGGTCTCGAAGACTCTCACATGGATATCATCCACAACGCATTTCCAGATACCTTGGCTGATGGCGGTTGCGTGACAAATCATGTTGTGTCAGGAGATAATTTACAGGGAGGCATTTCTTATCTCGGAGGAGAAAATCTCACATTCACTGAACATGTAGGTCCTTCAGAATGTGATGCGGTTCATCAAGGTTCCGATCAGAAATTAGAGATTTCTGCTCATGAGCTGAAAACCACAATGGCCACCACTAATCTGCTAGAGATTTCTTCTCTGTTGGAAGAGGAACTGTTCATGGAAGTAGATGACAAAGAAGTTGACAAGTCATATTATGATGGTCTTAGCTCACTGTTGGTGGACCCGGCAAACAATACAAACCACGGGGATTTGCCTAATTCCACCGAGCAAGAACCTTCCATCGCACATACTCATCCAGTAGTTGCAACTCTGGATGATCATTTGATGCATGAGCTAGATGGTACAAGTGCAATGAGCTCAATGGAGTGCAAACCTGTGTCTGACTCAGCTGCTCTTGATCCTCATCCTGAGATTGTTGGCGGTGTCATCTGCTGTTTATTAAACCAAGAGGATCCTGATATTCCATGTAACGATGACATTTTTCTGCCCAACAGCTCCCTTCCCTTGTCAGTATCTTCATTAGCTCGGCGGAGCTTTAAAGATACAAATAATCCAATAACTTCAGGTGCGAGAGATCTCTCTGCCAGTAGAGAGAAAAGTGAGGGATCTTCACTCCATACACAAAAGAAAATACCAGGACGTTTGCAAGTGTCTTCTCAAGGAAAACCAGAGATAGGTCAACCAAGTAAAGGTATAAAATTCAAGGCATTGGCTAATCCTGAGTCACATAATACTGTCGCTCGTGGTGGTTCTACCGGTTCTGCACAGGCATGCTCAAGCACTCTGCTTTCTGACGGTAACGGTGCAAAAGATGGAAACAAAGAAAAGGCCAGTGGAAAACTCATCGTTGGAATCAATGGTCATGGAAGCTGCCCCGAGAAGGATAGTGGAAACAGTAAAGTGGAAAAATGTGTATTGCCAATAAATGAAGCGCCACATGCAAATGACGCTGATAATGGCTCGATAGAGATTTTAGACCCTGAGCTGGAGATCACTCAAACAGAAGCAGACGGGCTTGGTTTTGAGAGTGACGAGGACTTGCCGAATTATTCTGACATTGAGGCTATGGTAACTCTCGACTAGTTCCATCCTTATTCTTTATACTTTGTTCCTCTGTAAGACAGCTGCTCCTAAACGATAACACTCTTTTGATTTCAGATACTTGACGGGGACTTGGATCCTGATGATCAAGATAATTTTGATCTCGAAGGTAACTGATCATCCCTTCTCAATTAGCAGAACTCGTGTCGCTTTACTCTATCTCCATTTTTTTT